ACATTGGTATCTCGCCAAAATGTCTACACCTTCCACCTATGGAACTGCTTCTGGACTCAAGGTGGCGGGAGTGATATTCCCTTATGTCAGTGGTTCTCAACCTTCCCAATGCCACGACTCTTAATACAGTTCCTCATGTAGTGACCCCCAATCATAAAATTGGTGTCTCGGTTCCTAAGACCATTGAAAATACTTGTTTTACGATGGACTTAGGTGACCCCTGTGAAAGGGTCGTTCGACCCCCAAAGGGGTCCCGACCCACAGGTTGAGAACCACTGCACTACGTGTTTCAATCACCGACCACTGTGCCAACGGATTGAACCGGAGTGAACCGGATTTTTCCTGCATTGCCCAATCACATAATTTCGTTGCGAAGCACAGCTATCTAGCTAGTTTCCTATAAAGCGGAAGCAGTATGTTCTGCCCCATAATTGGGTAGACCAGATTGCCCTGATAGATGGGTCTCACCAGAAAAAAACACTTTATTTTCTATAATTTCACAGTCTTACCTATGTAGTATCTGTATTTCCATTATCTTATTTTTTATGCTTTTCAATGTCCTGGTTTAGCCTACAACAATGGTCTCCCATCTGGTCTGATCCTGCTACATTTTTGGAAATGGATCAAGATTGTCCAGGTGCTGCTACATATCCAGGCATTATGATGTAGTTTATTTTTGTTTTTCATATATGGCAGAATTTCTCATATTACAGTCACAGATCTTCCTCAAGATTTATGTTTTTGCTGAAGCACATCTCCTTTACTTGCATTTAATTTTGTGACCACAAAGAGTATATTTGCTTTTAAAAAAACCTTTGAAATCTAGCTTTATATCCAAGAGATTCTCAAAGTACTTTAGTAATCTCAAGATAATCACATGCAGATCATATAAATAGAGTTATAGCTACAATGAAACTGAATTAGTAAAAGTTAGAGGAATTGTCTGCAACAGTAATGCATTTAATTCTGTGTTTCATATAAAGTGATCCTGACTGTATGCTTTTTATTAGGAACAGCTTTGCTGAATTATGTGAAGTTCTACTTAGTTCTATAACCAAAATATAAATCTTCCTGCATAGGGAGATTTATATAATACAGTGTAAAAATATTACTTGTATTTGTTTCTTTCAGCCTTCTGTCTATGAACTTGTAAGACTTCCTAGTTTTGCCAGTTTACCCATTATTGTTGAAGACTTTTCAAAGGATTCTGGAGCTACTTTTAGTGGTATGCCATTTTAATATTTTCTGAGGACATATTTTGATTAATACTTGTTAAAATCAGTATCTATTTAGAATCACTAAATAATTTTGTGAACACATTAAAGTAGAAAGTATGATGGTGTAATAATTTATAGGAATTTAAAATATGGATGACTAGGATTTCTTTTTTACATACCTTGTGATCTTAAGAATAAAGTACAGTGAGACAAATGTGGTTTTCTGAAGTCTGAAGAAAATATTTTGACCTGATTTCCCACCTGATTAATAGCATCAAATTTGCAGCAGTGATCATAGCAATGAAGTTACACCATAGTCTCTCCACCCTATAATTAAAAAGCTTTAAGAAATGCGTTTTTCCTAAATTAAGAAACCAAACTCCACTTTATTCTTGTTTGTGGCACCCACTTCAAACAGTGCTGTTGCCGGTTAATAGCGAAGTGTGCAATGTAGCAATCTCAGAATAAAGATCATACTAGCATCAACTGGGGCCCACTTGCTTTCCTGATGCTGGTATGTAGTAGAATTCCAATGTGTTGTAGAATGGTAATCTGCAGTAAGGATTGCATAGCTACTCTTGAACTAGGCATCATTTATTAGACTTACAGAGCCACCACTCTATCAGAGGCAAAGTATGGCTTAATGCCTCATTGTAGAACCCTGTCCTGGCACAGATCTGTACTTCATTTTTTTATCAGCCTAAAGATTACCAGGGTGATACTCTATTCTGTCAAGTAGCATGTGAGATACAAACCACACAAAATAAGGTAGAGTTTCAAGCACATTGTAAGCTTGAAATCCTGGTTTAGATAATACTGTATGTGAAATGAACTGCCACATGTGACGACCATTCATCTTTTCCTTCTTTTTCTGAAAGAGGTTGT